AAAAACAAACAGCCCAGCCCAGATGAGAAAAAGTAACGCAAAAGCAATGAAATGCATTACTTTCCATAAAAAGTAACTAAGTAACAAAATTAATTACTTTTAGGGGGAGAAACGCAATATAATGCATTGCTATTAAAAGTATTTCTCAAACACTGGCGCTGACAACGTTTCTGTGCCGGTGTGTGTGTGTGCGTTTGATTAGGAGAGAGAGTGGGAGAAGGATCTGATAATAATACGTTATTTTTGTGGCACAACTTGGAAATAATTTTTCATGTTTCTCCTATATTTTATTGTAATTATTTGTTGGGTCAGTGTCGCTGTTGGCTTTGGTTCTTTTGCTGTTGTAGTCTGTAAGGACTTTAATTTAACATAACTGAAATCATTTGGCGATTGTGACATGGAAATGTAATGCGGTCGAGAACTGTCTGGAACTACTTAGCCGTGTGTTTGAAAATAATTTCACATCTTAGAACGTTGTCAACCGATCATATTCAAGCATTCAACAGCACTGTTGTATATTAAATATATATAGGCCTACGTATTTGTATAATACTGAATCATTCTTTGTTCTTTTTCTAAAAAAAATAATAAAAAAAGAAATAAGCATGATGTAGCAATCAAACATGTTATACCAAATCAATCCTAATCTTTTATTTGAGCTTCTTCAAAGTTCATGCAGTCCTTTACTTTCCAACTCATTTCCATTTCCATCATATATACACATATATTATAATTTTATTTGAAAATCGATTTACAATTTTGAAAACATTAATTTATCTTAACTCCTTTTAAGCACTATTTATTGGCATGTGTGCGGGTAATATTTTCCATGGCAAGAGTGCCTGTGCATAACTGGCCACTAGGTGACAGAATGTATCCACATTTTGCTGGTTTATGAAATTGATTTTTTGTCAAGACAAGAACTCTTAAAATTCTCTTTAATCTGAGCCGAAGGTACATAACAGCTAACGAACTTTGTAGGGCAGCAGACAGATCAATCAAACCACTTTACTTTTAACACTCAAATCAATACCTATTCATTCCTAAATTGGATTTTTTTTTGAATTTTTGATTTTCACCTGTAGGCCTAGTCTGCGCGCTGCTACAAGATGTGAGGAAGAGCTAAATATGAGAGCTCATAGGTTAAATGAGTGTATGTGCTCTTTACTCACATCAAACTTTCATTGGTTGGTGGTTCAATCCCCGGTTCCACTTGACCAAGTGTGAATGTCCATGAGCGAGACACCTAACCCCAGCGGCTCCCGACGAGCTGGATGGCGACTTGCATGGCTGGTACCGCCGTCGGTGTATTCATGAGTGAGTGAATGGGTGAATCTTGTGAGGCAAAATGTAAAGCGCTTTGGTGGCCATTGGGTCTTTGAAAGCGCTATATAAATGCAGTCCATTTGCCATTTACCATTTCATGTAGCCAGGTCTGCAGTCGCAGAGATCCGGTTAAGAGAGCCGCATGTGATCGAGCGACGGAGGTCTTCTCTCCATTAACAGCATGTGTTGACAAGTTGAGCTCCCCTCAGCCTCATATTGGCCTATTGAATTGGATTCAATCTGTGCACATACTCTCTATCCAAATAACGACTTCCAAAAGTCTAGTAACTTTTGCTTAAAAGTTGTCATGACATTGATTTATAATTGCGGTCCAAAATTAAGTCACTGTTTTTTCCTGCTTTTTTAAAAATGGTTATATTTTTAATTATTTTAATAAATTATTTAATCATTGGCAAAGATCGCAAGATTTTACAGGCCATAACAATATAATATTCTTTGTAAAAAAAAAAAAAAAGAAAAGAAAAAAGGTGCCTTAGGCTATAGCTGAAAATCATTTTCAGTGCATCATTTTGTAATCAAAATATTTTTATTTTACTTTTCATTTGGGAATATTTCATTTAGTTTATTAAAAAAAGCCATTAACTCATAAAGTTTCCTAAATTGTTTAAAAATAACTTTTATCTCATAAAAATGTGCCCATAAATCTTGCATCAATTCTGTTACCATAGTAGTTTGTCTTTAAATTGTTGTAAGATAAAGGAAATGATGTCACTTTCCCTCACTGATAAGATCTGAAGCACTGAAAGGTATGTGTGCTCTCTCTGAGAAAAATATTTTAATCTAAAATTCTTACACCACTAGTTATTTTGTAAAACTCTGTTATAACCAAAGTTGAAAAACAATAGGCTACTACAAAGATTTTTTTTATTATTATTATTATTATTTTTATTTATTTTTTAAGAGGCACTAACTTGTGTTTGGCAAGTACACATAGGCCTACCTTATATGTCAAAAGATCAAAGCAATTTAGATTTCATGTCATGGGACATCAAGGACAAAAATTCTGAAATGAAGAAAATTACTTTGTGGACAACTTTTTCTTTTATTTAAAAATATAGCGGTTATAGCCTTTTGAAAAGGCTGGCAAGCATGAATATATACATAATCAACATAGAAATTGTAGCAAACAGCACAATTATCACATAGAAATAGGAAAAGACGAAGATAAGCCTCGCTAAATCCACCTCGCACACAGCCACGCAGTTTCAGATATACGCAAACAGACTTCTCTCTTTGCTTCCGTTTTTATCTCCCCAAATTTAAAGTTGACCGCTAGCACAAGACTATGCAAATAAATCTCCAATTGCTAACCTCATGTTTTTTTTCTCTCCCTGAGGTTCATCATGAAGCAAATTGGGTAAATTCTTGTTTAGCATTTCTGTCCACAGTAATCAAACTAAGATGGATTATTTGGCCCATATCTGAAATTGTAGATTAAGGCAAAGCCTAATTCATTCACCATGTTAAATGATACTCAAAAGTCAGGCTTACTAGGCAGTACATGCTAGATTAGATTTGGCACTTTTCTATTTAAGGCTGACATGACCCCAAGTGTGAACCAGTTGAGGATTCCCTGTAAATCTCATTTTACTGTAGTCCCAATGTTGAAGACTTCACAGTGCCTGATTTTTTTATTCAGAGACAGTAAGCTTGGAGAATACTGCAGTTAATTCACTTTAGTTATAAAGGCATCGGTTCAGTTTATTCATGGTCATATGCAGAAGACCTATATGTACATAATGAAAATGTCTAAATATGCAAACAGAATCAATGAATTTTAGTGTGTATTGTATCTGTGTATTAACAGTGTATTAAATCGCCCCTGTGAATTTCCTACGGAGCAATACCAGTGCCAGTACCAGTAATTTGCTAAAGTGAGTTAACACAATTAATACAGATGACACTTTCATGTTTACTAGAAGACATGACTCAACACAACTGACTTAGTTTAGCCTTGACAGCACATATTGTTTAACCTATGGTTTAATGTTTCAATGACAGCAACAACCCAAAAAAAAAAAAAAAAAAAAAAAAGAATCCAGCAATAAACAGCGATAGTTCCCCTCACACGCCATGAAGAGCAGGAAGGAAGTGGTAAGATATGCAAGATACTGAGCAAACAACTACTATGCAAAACATGTACAGACTGAAAAAACGATCTGATGAAGGGACACCTGTAGCCATTCTTCCCAAATGTGGACTATAATCATTCTGTGGGGGATGAAGAGGATCTCAAACATCTGCCACCTTCAAATGATCTCCATTTGAGGTCAGGCGGTTTTGTAATCCGCTTCACAAGGACATTTCCTGAGCTTCTGAACCACAGTAGCTCTCAAAATGACGCCCTATTACCGGATGGATGACTGAATTTTATGCAATCAAGAGATAAATTATTCGTACGGCTTTGACAACCCCAAGCATGTGTATGGTAAAACAGAACTCAGCATTTTGGATCATCTCATAAGAGCTCCCTCCACACACAATGCTACTTTTCTGCCAATGGCAGAGTGCTGATGTTCACTTTGAAAATATACAGTACCTTAATGCACAGGGCCACAGAACAAATTGGACTAGTCACTTTAATAGACTAGTGCTCCGAATCAAAATGAGCATTATCCTTAGGCACCAAGTCTTGGGCAGGGTTCCCCAATTTTTTGACCAATGAATTTGCATTAAGTTCTAGTCGTACATTAGCCTGGATGCCAGCCCGAACTCCGCCCACAACATTTTTTTGGTCGGGAAATTCGGTCTGGACTCGATCCATTGAGGAGTAATTATGGTCAGTCAAAAAACGATCGGGCCAATCAAATTGCCAGGGCGGGCTTTATAGGATTATGGACAGGTGATCTTCGGGGACGTAATCATCACGTTATCAAAGAGCGCTTAACTGTCTTCCCTCAGAGATGACTGCAGCTGGAGAATTGAGATGTATAGATTCCGCTGTCGCGTCTGTTGTGAAATAAATCGACAGCGCATTAATTTTAATAGACAAACAGAGAACTGCAATCAAGGCATTTGTTGATCGGAAAGATATTTTTGCCGTCCTTCCTACATGATTCGGCAAGACTGTAACTTGGCGAATGGTCGCTAAGAAGATGGGACGTAATGAAAAGCCTGTGGTCGTTGTGGTTTCTCCTTTGGTCGCACTCATGGAGGACCAAGTAAATGAAGCAACACTCGTTATTTTACTTCTAAAAAAAGTAAGTTCTGTTGACAACTGTGATATGCAAAGTAGTTGACTTACTGCATTGCTCTGATTGGTTGTAGATCTACCGACAATCCAATTGAGTGCAGAGTTATTTTTTTTCCTGGTTCGGTTAAGACCAGACGCAGACTCATATTCTGACCAGAATATGAGCATGACGAAGTCAGGCTAGTCGCACATGATTACCGGATGAGAATTTTGAAACAAATTTTTTGTAGAGATTGCAAACACAAAGAAATTCATGACCTTTCAATGCCTGAAAATAACCATTTAAAAAAGAATCCCTGACATTTCCAGTTTACGACTCTGGGAACCCTGCATGGGACAATGGAAGAATGGCTTAAAACGGCATTTGCTTGATAAAAGTTTTGGTCACGTATGTATTCCTGGATGCCTTTCCTTCAACGGAGCTATCAGTAGAACTTGTAGCAGGTCCCTTTTGGACTGATATTCGGTCTGAATTTAAATAGATCCAGCTGTTTATCTTAGCATGGGTCAGTAGTGTTACAGATGGCTTTGGTGTCTGAGCTAAAACAGTCTCCTCAACTTATCTCTACATGGACACAGGAACCTGAGGCATCTGTCCAGCTTTGACGTGTTTATGTCTTTGCATTTCTCCTCAATACACAATGCCAAACTCTGGATATTTATCGATCCATCCCCAGAAGGGTTTACTGATTGTAGGATTTCATACTCGGATCTCATCATCCTCATCTTCCATGAAGGAGGAGAAGGCTGGTTCATTGTCTGGATTGCAGGTGTTGTCGGTAATGCAAATATCTCCCTCGTAAGGCTCACTGGTTGTTTTCTCCTCCATGGCGGCTGAACCGGAGCTGGAATTGGAGCAGCTGTCGAGGTGATGCAGATGTTTGTGGTGTGGTTCTGGGGTGCTGGTGCCTTCGCTCTGGATCTCCAAGTCGACAGAGCTGGGAGCCCTCATGGGACCCTCATCGTGAGCAACTAAGCCCTCTGGATCCTCTTCTTTCACAGCAACCTCCCTCACTTCCTCATCCATATCCCCTTCTCCCTGGTTGCAGAGCAGAGGAGAAGCATGTCCCTCACTGCTCTTGCCTTCCTCAAACCCCTGATCATCGTCTTCCTTCTCCATGACCCCCAGGATTTCCCCCAGCATTGAGGGGCCAAGGTCAACATGGAATGACATCACAGATTCAGCCTTCTTCATTCCTCCCCCATTGTAGGATGGATAAGGGCGCAGGTCCGTCAACACACCGAAGTGCTTCTCATGGAGCTCCAGGTCCAATGCGTTAGCAGAGGCCCCATTGGAGGGGCTGGATGTCAAGCTCTTAAGCTCTCTACTGTCAGTATCGTGTTCATCCTCATTGTTCAGAAAGGGCAAGGACATGGCATTCTTCACAAAGGTAGGTGACCCACTGGGAGGAAGGAGGGTATTGTCTTGCTGGTCTACTCTGTTGACGGACTGAGACCGCTTGCTGCTCCGGAAGGTACGAGACAGCAATCCCGGTTTTGGAGAGCGAGGATAGGTGTGTCCCTCTTGGGATGGCTCTCCGGATCGAGTGCTGAGGAAAGAGGTGTCCCCGAAAGCTTCCCCACTGCGCCCGACATGCATGGTGTGCCGAAAGTCACCCAACGGAGCGCTGATCATCTCTGTCGTAAGATCCATACGAGAGCGCCGTTTGGTCTGAGACCCCGCTACTAGCTGCTTTAAGATAGGCATCTTGGTTTGTACAACTCACAAATCCAGTCCTACAATTGCGTTTGACTGGTGGTGATGTTGTTTCACAAGTCAGCGTTTTTCTTTTAAAGAGTCCTAAAAGGTTCCTGGTTAAACCAGATTCTGCTCAGGCCGACTCTGTCCAGTCTTGATGGCTGCCACTTCATCTGTCAGACAGGAGATAATCTGTAATTGGGAACAAACAAGATTAAAATTAAATGTCAGTCATAGTTAACTGGAGATGACATCTTGACTCGAAGCAAAACCACTGTGCAAAGCTAAGAAGTGGAGTTAATTATAACTCAGTGTTGTTTGACTTTCTGGGTGCAAGATCAATATGGTCAGAAGAAATTGGAAGTCCAGGCAGAACACAGGCAGTTTCAGGATGTTTTATCAATGCGCCTGGCCAGAATACCAGCCGAAGCTGCAGTGTCATTATTTTCCCTGCGCTAGTCTGCAGAAGTGCTTTTGGCATTCAAATGAGGTAAGGGTCAGGATTCTTGCGGTCAGGCAGGCAGACTTTCAATCATTAATAAGATAAGCAGAGACTGCTGAGAGAACTTAGCAGAGAGTTTAAGTACTTGGTGAAATACTTACGGTGTCAATAGTAATATCCTTATAGGGTGGATTTTATGAAACCTGCAACAAACCATATTTTACCCCACAATAATCAAAAAGAAAAACATTTATTTATAGATAATACAGCATATTTCTGGAATTATTATGATTTAATTTTTTTAAAAAGCACATTTCCCTCTCTAAAATTCTCACTTTGGTAAATAAATTATTGTACAATACACAAGTACAAGGACAACATCACAGATAGAGACCAGCTGCCAGTGATACTAGTAGAATGCAATATCTCAAACACCATTGTTCTGCTGTACAGATAAGACCGATAGGACTCTCTGTCAAGTGACAATGACTTCCTGTGTAATTAGCCATGAGTGGCAGAAACAGAGGAACATGGTTAGCCATGACCCTATTGATGGCTCGGACTCGAAGGTAGCAATACGCGACTCTAAAATTTACCTCTATGCTCTAAACTAAGTAGCTCACCAGGGACAACCACAATTAAGCACAAACACAAGCAAGTACAAACCTCCAACTCAAAACACCACAACACGTTCTGACGCTCTTAAACAAACCTCACTTTGAATGAATAAAATGCTTACCCTCACCGGAGAGTCCTGTGGCATAATTCCCAGGTCGGTAAATTAACACTAACGGCAAGAGACAGGCCAAATGCTTGGCAGGCAACAAGTTTTTCCTGTCACTGATCTGCTGTAATATTCATGAAGTCCTTGCTTTCAAAACAAACAGCAGCAAGAGTAAAATACTCTGAGGTGCCCAACCAACTCATGACCTCTTTCTGGCTCAGTCTTCCTCTACCAGCTTTGTCTGCACTTCCTGATAATGTCCTTACCTGCCTGTGTCTCTATAGCAACACCCCTCTGCACACAGATGTTAGTGTTTCCTGTCAGCATGCTTTTTTTTTTTTTCTGGCACCAACCAAAATGTTTATTTCACTCTATACAGTTCACTGATTAAAATGCATCTTCTGCATAAATGGCTAAATTAAAATCCTAAAATAACCACTTATGTGAATTATGCAGAAAATCATTGACTATAGAATTATAACTCTCGTTGGTATTAAAGATGAATTATACAGCAAATAAAAGAACCACTGAATATCTGAACTCACTGTTTAAATAACAGATAATGAGCCTTTTCTATTGTGTCTTCTGTTAGAGATGGACTGAATACAGGCAGCCAGCACCTCCCTGAAGGCAAGAGAGAGTAAGGATGAGACTCAGCCAATCAGTGATGGCGTCCTGCGGCTCTCCGCCACACACACACACACACACCTGTTTCCATGACTTCATTTCATGATGATGAGCCCACCTGAAAACAAAGGAAACCCTTGCACAGCCTCCAAAATGATTTGAGTAAGCTAGAGTAGTACAAAAGCTATCGCAGAAATACAAATTAAATGAGTGAATAAAGCATGTAAATCATAAAAATATACTCTTATGAAAAAAAAAAAACATAAAATGTATAGATTTATCATACACAAACACCATTCAGAAGTTTGATGTTGAAAGAAGTCTCTTCTGCTCACCAAGGCTCCAGTACATTCATTTGGTCATACATAAAAATAGGATGAAAAATATATTTTTCTAAGATAATATACTGTCAAATATATTTTATTCATGTAATTCAAAGCTGAATTTTCAGCATCATTACTCCAGTCTTCAGTGTGACTTCAGTGTGAATCATTCTAATATGATTTGATGCTCAAGAGGCAACAGTTGTGCTGCTAAAAATATTAGATGAACATAAAAAGGTCAAAAGTTTTTTGTAACAGTTTCAAATTATTTACTGTATTTTCGTGATATTTTACTGTATCCTTGTTGAATAAAAAAATATTAGTAATAAAGAAGTCTTACTGACCCTAGTATAAGGACGATATCAGTTTCTGCCAGGACCACTATTGTCAAATACGATTGACAATTAGCATACAGTTAGGATTGGTGGTATGGTTTTGTTCTGGGCAAGAACTCCCTGCGCATCTATGTAGCCGAGCATTACTCTTAGGGTAAACAGAACTGAACCAACATGAAAGTATTGCAGATATCATTAATTCATCTTAATGTATAACATTAGAGAATTTTAGTCTGTTTCGGCAGGAATCCTGGAATTAGCTCCTGAGAAATGTGATAGCTATTGATAATACTGGCAAGCTTATATGTATAGCTACAGTAGTAGACGTCGTATTCCTATAGGTAGAGCTGATGCGAGTTCACCAACGTGACCTGCCAGAACTGACGCTACGCTTCATTTTTAGTTATATTGATCATAACAAAAATATTACATAATTACCTGACATAACGTTTGTTTTCTGATCCGAATACATAAGTACAGGTAAATGTGTGCTAGTTAGTAAGTTAACACTTACCACTTGCGCGTTAGTTCAGACCACTGCCATGCAACTGGTTAACGGCTGCTTAAAGTTGCAGTTTTATGCAGTCATACACTTTTTTTTTTTTTTTGCGGCACAAATTATTTTGCATTAAACATAATGATTATCATTTCCCAAAAGGAGAGGGAACGGTTTTTTCCCCACTAATTTGAAAATCCCCAAAAAAGAATTTTCCGAATTGTATTAATAGAAAAGTGGAAGTGTAATAATTATACAAACAAATTACTTCTCATAAAAATGGCACAAAAAGAAGCTCAAAGAGGACAGCAAGCAATCAATATGCAAAATTATTCACCCAAATTACAATGCAGAACAACAGTTCACAGCATTCTGGACAATGACAGCAGTGTTTATATGACGTGTTTCTACTGGGTGGCAAGAGCTGGAAGAAAAACAAGCAGTAGATGAAAAATGTAAAGCACCAAATCCCTTAGACACACAGTTCCGTTGCATTTCTGTCCTGTCCCACATACAGTACACCAAGGGCCCCAAACATAGTCTTCGCAAGTATGTGAACACACTCTCCTAGCCAAGCAAACTCCATTTTGTGCATTATTAGGTTACAACTCTATTGCCACCTTGAGCATTGAACGTTTTTATTACAACAGTTGTAAAAATTCACATTACGCACTGGCCAACTTGGTCTGCATTCGTTTCTGGTACAGTCATTCTATACTGACACACTGCAATCTGTATCTAAATCCCTCTTAAAAGTGCCCCACTATCAGCGCATATTGCGGGAAAGGCTAACAACCTTTGGTTAATAGTGGTCCATGTGCATCTCTGGACCAGTTTATCAAGCATGCGCTTCTGGTAAGATGGAGCTTTATTTATAGACGTGCAAATATGAAGACCAGGGAGCATGGGAAGGCAGCGTGGGAAACAACAGGCCCCTGAAGGGGTGAGTGACTTTCCAAATACCCTTTCACAACATCTATGATAGCAACACAGTTTGTAGGGAGCAGTTGGGACTTCTTCTGTACAGACTAAACACAACTCTCTCGCTCCCACTACCCACTCCTCCTTTTCTACATCCCTGCGACCCTTTACATACTAATCTTTGACCCCCATGTGAGTTTAAGAGGTTTAGCAAATCTCATAGAAAAACATAGACACACACACAATGCATTTTGGGTGCCTCTTGTTTCAGAAAGCATCTCTGAGGGAGTCACAAATCCTGATTTTGAAATCATAATAAAGAGAAGTGCTGAATCTGAAAACTTTTTCATCCACGTTAAATGGGTGAACTTAAGTGTGTATTTCTGCCCCAGCAGCAAAACAGAAATGCAAAAATAATTGTCTACAAGCGATTTATAGTATTAGTGATGGAATATTATATTGTATTATCGGTTTGTGCAGATAAAGTAGGATCATGTGCAGATAAAGTAGGTACATAACGTAACATAACATAAAGTAGGGTCGTACATAACTTAACGTAACAAAGTAAGGTCGTACGCAACAACGTAACAAAGTAGGGTTGTAGGCAACAACGCAGAATAACGCAGTGTAACGTAATATAGTAGGGTTGTATCATGTAACATAACGTAACAAAGTAGGGTCGTACATAACGTAACATAACGTAGTGTAACGTAACATACTGTAGAAGGGTTGTACGCAACAACATAACGTAACAAAGTAGGGTTGTAAGTAACATAACGTAACAATGTAACATAATGTAACGTAACGTAGCATAACATAACATAGTAGGGTTGTATGTAACAACGTAACGTAACAAAGTAGAGTCGTGCATAACGTAACAACGTAGTGTAACGTAACATAGTAGGTTTGTACGTAACAACGTAACAAAGTAGGGTTGTACATAACATAGTGTAACGTAACATAGTAGGGTTTTACGCAACATAAAATAAAGTAACAAATTAGGGTCGTACATAACGTAACATAACATAACGTAACAATGTAAAGTAACGTAGCGTAACATAACATAGTAGGGTTGTACGTAACAACATAGCGTAACAAAGTAGAGTCGTGCATAACGCAACAACGTAGTGTAACGTAACATAGTAGGTTTGTACGTAACAACATAACATAACAAAGTAGGGTTGTACATAACATAGTGTAACGTAACATAGTAGGGTTTTACGTAACATAAAATAAAGTAGGGTTGTGCATAACGTAACGTAACGCACACTGCCCACTGCCCAGCCCCCAAAAAGTTGCTGTTTTGATTTAAAGGTTCTCTGAGCAATCCTGGGTGTCGGAATATTTTCAAACAAATCGGAGGCTAGCTAGACCCTCCTTCCTCCGCATCTCATCTCCTCCCCCTCCCTTCCGTGCTTCTTGAAATAATTGTGAACGTGCATTTCTAGCTAATTATATCCTTGTGTGGGTTTGGCGAACATAAGCGTCAATTTAGAAGAAAAAAACAATTTAACGTTACCCACCTGTCCAGCAAAAACAGAGCAACCTGAATGTCGGACTGGAAGCCCTTCTGCCGCCGGAGTTCTCGCCATCGTTCAAAAGCTTTGCTACCGATGTAAATTCGGAACTTCGCACGTTCTTTATCCGACTCATTCTTCTTTTTAATTTGTTCTTCAGAACGACGTCTCTTTGGTCGTGTGTCGGCCATTTTTCAAACTTCCCTCTGATGCTTCGCTCTCCTTCACACACACCCCCCCTTCATGTGCACGCGCACTAACCCCCCAGACCCACCCTCAAATACTTCTTGCCAGTGATTGGCTGGAACACTGTTTGTTAGGTTTCGTGGTCCGGGTGAGACATGATTGTTTTTGTTGCCGTTTTTGGAGCCTGTGGTATCTACAGAGACCGCGTTTTTTTACAGTGTGTTTAGGGGACAGGCAGCTAGCCGATAGTGAGGAGACGTTTGATGTATGTGACAAAAAATGTTTTGGCCCCACATCGCTTAGAGAACCTTTAAGGCAAATGGTTAAGCGCCTATGACTGGATTATTATTCCAGTGATTAGATTTCTAGCATTATATATATATATCGCGTGATATCAGGTCTCGGCGATGTAACAAATTGCTTTATGGCAAGAAAGATCTGCTAAAATGAACATCAAACAGAAATAACCCGGCACCGTATACATGTTGTGTTCGAGGCGCATACAATACAGACTGCTGACAGTTCAACAGGGCGCAGCTCTTAAAGGGGCCACACCTTATTTTCCACTCGTTACAGCTTTCATCCTACTGAACAGGTACCAGTATACAGGGGGAGGGGGAATCAGGCCGTGAACAGAGACATCTTTACGTGAGTGCTGTTTACGACAGTACAAGTACTCCACAGCGACTCTAGGGGTCACAGTTTGACAAAAACGGAAATCCTGCATAGTGTGGCTTTAAGAAATGAAAAGCTACACACTCCATCAATTATTGTTAGAAGAACTGTTGCCAAACAAATAACACCCTGGGCATCAGACCACCTTTAGTGGTGCAGAGATGACA